ACACACACACACCCATCGTCACAGGGGGTGACCACAGTGTTCTGCCTTAATTTGTGGCGTTTTTCTAAGAACTGGCTGCCATGTACTGTGCGAAATCAATCGATGTTGGAAGAATAAATTTTGGATAACCCTCTTCTAAGAATTCCAATTGAGTGTGTTAGTGTGGCCAGCTCAGGGCAATATGATATTATAAACACAGTACATATCACGTCTCTGCTGTTTATAAATACATAGGAAAGAATATACGCCTTTCATAACAGTGGAACGGAGGAACTTCTCCCAAGAGCAACAGGAAATTTGCTGCAAGACAGGCATATGTAACGATGACTAAGCGCCGCTAAACTCGTGGCTTATAATACTCTGAACTACTGACAACAGGCCAGCGAAAAATCTAACAATCTACGGCAAAACCATCAATTATTATGGGCGTTATAACATAGGTGTGCAGCTGGACGAAACATTGACGTCAAACCCCCGCAGACGATTTAAATACCTTGACGAAACATACATGTCAAACCTCGCTGAACGGTTAACAAAGTCTTGACATTTCACTGTATGTTCATACATCCAAAAATCATGCACATTAATTACATGTATATGGACAAAATAAGTTTACTTGTTATGGGTATCACTTAAGGTGTCAGTTTCCAGCTTGAAGAGGTCCCTCAGGTCAGCCAATGAGAAGTGTCTAGCAACATCCTCCTCATTATCAACAACACTAGAACTCAAGGCCTTCTTATGTGCCTGTCTCTGGAAAATCTTCTCCTCTATTGTTCCTGTCTGCAATAGATTGAACAGCCATTAATTTAAGAGTAACATTAAAGGAGCAATTCACAACAAGGACAGATACACCTGTAACATAACTGGTAAGAGTGCACAAATGGTCAGGTAAAATGAGGGACAAATCAGAATCTGCAAAATGAATTTTATACTGTGAAAACTGTAACGGTTTAGGTTATGAAAACACTCAGATTTTCAAAACTGAACTAACTTCAACTTGAGCATTAATGTGACTTCCAACTCCAAAATATTCCCAAATTTTCCTTTAATGAGAAAATACAATCATATTGCAAACCACAGACTGTTACTACAGTACTTGCTATCTCATTATATGGTCACGTATTTGGGGGTGTGCATGGCTTACAGACGGGTTTTGGATTAATGACTGGATTTGCTGCACTTATACAACTTGTTACTAGACTTCACAAACCACTATGACTATCACTATGTTTTCTCTTCTCCATCATTTTCAACTGCCATCTCCAGGGACACCCTCAATTCTCCCCATCATATAGACTTAGGGTGGCCCCAACAGAAAACACCATTTCATAATAATTCCTCTACTGTTATAGAGGTGTGTTTACCTCCCCATTGCATAAAAATGGTAATTCTTCTATTGTGTGTGTGTTCATTTCTGCAGGAAACTGTTTACTGAGTCATTGCCTAGCAATGAATGTCTACTCTGGCTCTGCTATTCCAGCTTTCAAGCATATGTAACAATACATATTGTTTAGCATACTGTTTCCTACAGGTTCTTTCTAAATCATCTTTATTAAACATGGTAACATTAAACAACATATTTTTCAAAATCAATTTCAGCTGTGAAGTAATGTCAACCTCATAAGTTGACATTCAGAAATATAGTATGTTTGTGCTTGGATTATTTTACATAGTAGCCATATCAATATTACATTTAATCAAAATAGGTAAATATAAAAGCAAGTAAATAACTCTGGTAAAAACAGGTAACGTTGTCCCTGTTCTTAACAAATTGAGCACTATGACATGAAGGCATATGGGGGAGTGGATGTACAGATCCACACTTTCTTGATCTCGGCACTAGCTGGAGATTAGTGGTCAGTTTCACAGCTTTGGCTGTTTTATCCCAAGGAAAGAGCCTCCAGTACCCACTGGATAGTAGATTGGGTGGACTCCTCAACCAGTCTGGATGTGGAGAAAATTCTTGACCCTACAGGGACTTGAACTCCAGCCCCTTCATCATCCAGCCCATGGCCAGTCACTATACCAATTAATGATATTCTGGCTCCTAAATAACTCTGGTAAGAGAACCTAAAAGGTTTAACACAAAAAATATAAAAATTCCTGTGTCAGTTTAGTCCAGTTCAAATCTGATCATAAAATTTTCTGTCATATCTGGATGTAACTCATAGTGATTTTGATCCCACAAGAACAAACACATTGGAACTCCTGTTAGATGCTCCTCGATTTAAGGTTCAGTTTCATTGATCCCATACTCGTACTTCACATTCAACAACATACTTAAGCTCAGTCTCAGGTAAGTAAATAATAATGCGTACACACAGAAATCGGTATATGTAACACTGTTTACATTGCCCATCTCGCCATACTCGAGCCATAGCTTGGTCATCATTGGCAGGATTCCAGTCAGGATCAAACATGACAAGGCGGTTTGCACCAATCAGATTAAGTCCACAACCGCCTGCCTTTGAGCTTAGCATGAAAATAAAGTCAGAGCTCAATGGGTCATTGAATTTCTCAACCACCTGTAAGTACAAAAACAGCTTCACTAATGATAAGGTCTGTGTTATGACACATAACCAATTATACATTCTAGATGGTACAATAACAAATCCAAATTCATTAACTCTATTCTTCAATTAAAACCACATAGAGTAAAATATCAATACAACAAATACTGAAATAAGATGTTCAAACATTCATTCAGCAGCCAGTTCCTACAAATGTATAATATTTGATATTTATTAGAAAGTTCAGTTTTGCAAACAATTCAATTTCAGTAATAGAAACTGAATTCCTTTTGCCTGTTTACCAAAAATAAAATTTTGAACATTATATAACATAACTGCAATCAATTCATTAATTTCTCTCCACAGGCCAACCCTGAAATCCACATTGCAGAGGGAAGCAATGTCTGAAAGGATGGCAAGCAGAGTGATGGTCCACCTAAGCCAAGTTGCATTGTGCCAAGGGATGCATGGCATTGGAGTGTAAATATGCCAATGTTGTGAACAGCCTCTTAGATCCTCATTACACACGGGAATGTTTATGGAGACCAGACAAATAAAAACACTTGTAAAGGTTCAAAATCTAGCAGGGACTACTTTATGGGAAGCCCCCCCCCCGCAAAAAAAAAAAGTCCCCATCAAGGGGTTGAAATATCTGGGCACCATTACAGGATTCTATCATTCCTCCAGAAGGAAAAGGTCTAAACCACATAGCCTCAGTAGTAGGCAGGCTTCACATAACAAAGATCAGACTGTGTTGATGTGCTATGTAAATGCCAAGAAAGTTTAGACAAGCCAAGGAGGGGCACACAACTAGGGCACCAATGCACACTCAAGCAAGAACTCCAAGTGGGATATCTAAGAAGTCCAGGTCTGAGATTAGCACTTCCACCAAATAGGCAAGACCTCTGAGAAGGCCAAGGGACTCTAGAGGACCAGAGATCTATAAGCAAATTTTGACAAATGTTAATACAGCTGTTTCCAAAGAAAAATATTTTTCATATTTGATGATGGTGAAAAAAAAAATTATTCTGCCAGGCACTGAAGCTGGTAATTTACTTAATTTTTCTGAGAAGTATTCATTTTTATATCAAAATGCCATATAAGGGTCCACTGTGAAACTGATCAGGCCACTCTCCACAGTCTTGAACATACAGCAATTACAGTCCACTCTTTCATAAGTAGCATTATACACCACTTGGTTTTTGATGAGTTACCACACTTAAAGGAGGCATATTATTTCAATGATGATGCAAGGTTACAGTACAAGAATTGCAAACATGTCTTAATCCTATATTGTCATGAAGATTTTCATGTAGCAGCTGAGTGAAATTTCTTTGCTAGTTTGCATAGTAAAAGTCTCTGCAATGGGATTGGTGGAATAGTAAAGTGACTTGTACACATGCCAGTCTTCAAGCATGTGAGAGAAATTGCATTTTAATTCCAGAAGATGTACACAAATAGGACCATAAAAATATTACACAATTTACAGTATTATACATAACAGAAAAAAAATCACAGCACATGTTCTAAGACCAAGAGATAGGCCAAAATTTCTGAAATTGTTAATGGTACACAGAACCACCATAACTTTGTGCTCATCAACATTTTCAGGGCTCTATGTATAATTGTTGTCATCAGATAAAGCAGATGGGGGTACCAAGATAAGTGTTGCAGTTCAACTAGTGTTGTTGTGGAGACATACTTCAGTACATATTGGCTGTTAATGTCACGTGATTTGCCTGTTAAATTTATAAGTTTTGTAGTATGTTTCATGACTGATGTTTATTATGAGGAAATGTTTACTGCCTACATATTCAGAAATGTATTTTTTGTCAAACTACTGAAGATACATATTAAATTTGGACCAAGAGAGTTCCTGAGAAAAACTACTGCTGGACACCAAATGTTATATTTCTGACATCTGAAATAGCAGAGATGTTTGTGGTGGGCAGAGCTTACTGCTTGCGATTCATCAATGAAAAACTGAAACACTGTAAATTTTTATTTCATGGACAACTAATTTGTAAAATACAGGTTACAGAAACTGCCGATGACATGTTTGACAAGATTGTTGATTTGATGGGGAATGACCAAAATTCCTAAAGCAAATTTCCCTAAGTACAAATGATATTATTATAACCATGACATATATAAGTAGATACTAAAGGGTTCTGATGTTAGTGTATAATACATGAGAAATCCACTGTTAGCTCTTTCTAACAGACCCAACTAAGCATGCATCTCCCACCTGCTCACCTGAGGATGGAAAAAGTCGTTCTCAGAATGTTCTGTGCTTTCAAATACCAGACGATGCACAAAGCCCAAAAACCCAGCAATCCCAAAAGATATATAGTTTTATAATGTAATAAACAATCACTAAAATGTTCAACACCACAGTCTAGTCACCATAAGAACAAAAACAGCCTTTCTTCTATACTTTGATTCAGGCAAACCACATTAGTTGATACAGCTTGATACTCTGAATCTTTTTAGTCTTATATTGATAATATACAATACAATTTGTAATAGGGTCAGATACTGAGGCATATGTCAGAATCATTACATTCAAAATGGTTTAGTGGTAAGTGACACTGACTGATGAACAGGAAATTGTTGTTTTAAGTTTAGCATTTCATCATGCCTAACTTATTGCAACTACTGAGTAATTATTATAGTCAATAACCTAATGAAGTGTCACACCTTAGCTCTTTTCTTGATAGTCATAGATCCATCCAGACGAACATACTGGTAACCACGGTGTTTGCTCAGTCTTTCAAACAGATCCAGTGTCTGTGTATAATTTGACACCAGCACTACCTTGTCTTGTGTTGTTGCCTTAACAACAGCCAGCAAACAGTCTAGTACTGCCAACTTTCCAGATAGTTCTGGCATTATCACTTTCCTACAGAAAAACCAACCTATATTACAACAGTTTATGTTGCCAAGATGCACAGTCAGGTAATATATACTATAGTCTGTTACGTAGTAACATTTTATGGCACATTCCTATGCCTGTAAACATTATTTGGTGATACCTGATGCTATGCTGCACCATCCAGGAGCCAAGGTGCACTTGTGAACAGGAGTAAACTGGCATGCAGGATTGCAGCTCTCCCAGGGGGGGGGGGAACTATACAAGAGGAAGACTAAACTGCAGTGTGTGTGGAAGGCATGCATCTTGAAAAACACAGATGTTACATCTTAGTAATTCCTTAGACAGGAGTCCACTCAGGGTCGGTTGCCCTTCTCATGGGCAGGATGAGTTACCAAAGGCTCTGCCAGAGTATGGTTTTAGACTGGTTCAGTCACTGGGCAAGGGTCAGCTGTAATGACAACTTAAAGAGGATTCTATAGATTTATCATATTTAATATTTTTTTTCTCTCTCTCTCATAGCTTCTCTATTGGTGTACCATCTGATTTCTTGAACTATATATTGTGGCAGATTGGAGGAGGTTAGTTCTGACCTAGGGTGCTGCTTATACTTGAACATGGCTGCAGTATGTTTGTCAGCGATATTCAGCCTGATTAACTGGAACCTAGCTGTAGGGACTTATGGAAATTCTGATATTTGCGTGTACCAGTATATCTGAGGTCTACTTCCACATTACATGTTTGGCTATTTATGGGATAAAGCAGCCTATGCCATTTTAGGTATAACAGCAGTAGACACTCAGAAATGTATTTAATTTTGTAGATACTGTGTTTTCTTAGTGAAGAAGTGAAGCCTAATGCCTCTCTTCACTTATGTACTTATGAGTTTACAAACTTTGAGACAGAAGATTGTGCCATATTTAGTTACTGAAAGTCTGCACTCAGATGTCCTGCCCTTATTATTTGTGTTCAATTAAACTAGTTACTGTTAATCTTAAGCTACGAATGGCCATATTCAGACCATGCTGTGAAAACCCTATCTGTTCTCTGCTAAGGTGGGAACTTCACCTTAGGATTATTTGCTTGTCTTAGCCATAGGATTGCAATTTATGGGACTTCCAAGGTTTTCCCAGGATCCAAAAACAAAACTCTGGTGGCACTCAAAGGCATTCCTTTGGATTTAAAAGACACAGTTAGCCAAAACTAATTCCATGGTAACCTTCTAATTACTGAAGCGCAGTCATCACAAGTCATTACTAAATTCTGAAAAGGTGTAAGGAAGAAATTAAGGTTATGAAAGAAAGAAAACTGAATATATTTGTGCTTAATGAAAGAAAATGGATAGCAAAAGAAACAACTACAAATAATTGCAACAGTCTTCAGCTCAGCAGTTGCAACTGGGATAACCAAAGTACAAAATATCAATGAAGCAATAATTAAACTAATAATTTTTATACATGGACAAGAAAGAACAATCTAGTATGTGCACTTCAGGTTGACTGCAGGACACATTGATAAAAGAATTTCTAACAGAAATTGGTAGAGTTGCTATAACAAAGAATTTATGCATATAGCAGAATTAATGCTCAAGTGGGATGGCATAAGAGAGATGTAGAAATGTGATGTGAAGTACTTGTGAAGGAAGAAGAAACGATGAAAGAGAAAATTTACTAAATCTGAGTATTAGAAATGAATGGACAATAGGAAACCCATTGTTTCAGAATTACAACACAGCTTGGCTTGAACAACTGGATGACACTAAAGAGTCTTATTCTTCAAACAACGTAACCACGATGTGGCATACTCATGTTCCTTTGAAGAGAATTAGTATAAAGGACATGAACCAAATTGGTTCTAGATTTTAGCAAAACGGTTTTTAAATCACACCTGTAAATAGACTAATAATAATTTATAAATGTTTTAATAAATTCATGCACATCAGAGTAATTGTTAAAGGATATTATATATTTATGACATTGTAATAGTAGTGTCTATATGTATTGATAATGACCAATAACATTGTAATAGAACAAGGTGGTTCAAAATGACTGGGACTGATTTGTGTGTAAACAAGCTGCACTGCGCAGCAGCTGTGCAACCTTGAGAGAGTGAAGCCACAACCTCCACCCTCCCTCCTGTTTGGGTTAGAACCTTTCATTCCTGTCTGGGAGTTGCTAGAGTGATGAGTGAACAGAAGGTACCGTGGAGCGTGGAACAACGCATTGTGATCAAATTCCTCGTTGGAGAAAACGTCCCGTCCACTGAAATTCACCAGACTCCAACAACAGTATGGGGAAGAGTGTATCTCACGGACCCATGTGTTTGAGTGGTGTAAGTGCTTCAGAGAGGGCAGAGAGTGTGTGGAGAATGAACCGCATGACTGTCGGTCGCAAACATCCGTCACCGAGCCAAACATTGATCGTGCAGATGCGCTTATTCGTGAGAATAGGGGCATCATTACCAAGGAACTTGGAACAATGCTGTCCATCAGTGTTGGTAGTGTAGAAGACATCGCGAAATACCACCTGCACTATCACAAGGTGAATGCATGGTGGGTACCACACACTTTGACGGACGTGAACAAAATGGTGCGCATGCAAGCTGCCAGTCATTTCCTACAGCAGTTTGAAGATGAAGGTAATGCATTTTTGAAGTCTATAGTGACCACCGATGAAACGTGGGTGCACTACTTCATTCCCGAGTCCCAGCAGTCATCACACGAGCGGTGGCATACCAGTTCTCCCAAACCCAAGAAAATGTGGAGGAGCCGTTCGGCAGGAAAAGTGATGGCAACATTCTTCTGCGATTGGCAGGGGGTTATCCATGTAGACTTTCTGACAGATGCCAGAACAGTCAATGCAGCTTATTACTCAGACCTCCTGGCAGCAGACGTGAAGGAAAAGGTCTGATCCAAGCGGAAGACAGGTGGAAAGAGGGTAGCCTTCCTTCAAGAGAATGCACACCCCCATACGGCCAAAACAATAATGGAAACCCTCTGGAAATTGAAATGGAACCTTCTGACACATCCACCGTACAGTCCCAATTTGGCCTCAAGTGATTTCTACCCGTTCCCAAGGGTCAAATCAGACTTGCAAGGCATGCGGTTTGTGGACGCCATCATCCAGACTGTTCGGGAATGGATACGCCGCCAACCACAAGCCGTTTTTGTAAAGGACGTCAGGATGCTTCCAGAACGTTGGAAAAAATGTGTTGACTCTGGAGGGGTGTACATTGAAGACTGACATGTGCAAGTAAGTGTTTGGCAATTATGTTTTTTTTTTAAATCAGCCCCAGTCATATTTAAACCACCTTGTACTTTCCACATGTACAAATAATGTCCTGAAGATGGTCACTCTGACCGAAACATGCATAGGATGAAAGATTAAAAAACAGAATATTTATCAATCACACTGGATGGTGTTAATAAACTTTTATACTATTACTAGTGTGACGGACCAGGACGAACCAAGTCATATTTACAGAACACTTTATTGTTCAGCTTAAAACTTTCAGCAATCTTTTATCCATGCATATAAATTTCAACAAATACCTCACCTTGTATTGTACTTCTCCGGCAGCAGAGACAGTGCACCTTCAAAGCCATCATCACCAGCCTCCATCTTTTCAAACACGAGGTCTGGATGACTGCACAATTTCTTCAAGGTTGTGATGGCTGACAATGCAGATAAACTCACCTTACCACTCCTTTCTCCTGCAATGAACCACTTTTCTTATTTTAATTTCCATCTACCTACAGTTTAATGTTCAAATAAAATAATTAATAAAGAAGTGGTCAACAAAACACTTGAACAGCCCATATCATTTATGTCACATGAACCTGAATTTAACTTATACAATGAAGTGCATTTAATTTTCCAGCAACTGAAACTGTTAGTGAAGAGAAACAGTTACAAAAGTGTGCAACCATTCACTTGAATGTCAATGTTGCATGACACTGGAAAAAATAAAGTTCTGTGAACAGACATATGAGAGCTGTAAAATTATGCTTCACAGTTAAACTTATAATCACAGTAAACAAAGCAAGCTTGGCCATGCCTCAGCATTATCTTGGTTGGCTGGTGGGGATATATAATTTTAGTACCAACACTGGAAATATTGTTCAGAAAGTTCATTAAAATCTCTACTTATGTTTCGCACAAGGTTCAGACTGACTATCTGACAGGCATGAGCAAGTCTCAAATTTCTGAGATCAAATTATGAAAAATTCTCCATCTCAATTTGAATGTTAGTTCTTCATTTTTGAACTTTGAAAATTTTTTGATAACTATTTTCGTTTTGCACACCAGTGTCATGTCAAAAGGGACTGGCACCATCTTTTCCAGAACAGAAAGCAGGTTCTTTCTCCCAACTTTAAGGGTTACAAAACTGTTATCAGTTTGAATGCTGTATATATTAGAGAATTCTAATCTGTTTACGCTTTTAGCATGTTTATGGCACAGTATACATTACTGTTACAAGAGTAGCAAGCCAGAATGAGAGAGACATACGTATGTATCATGTTCAGAAGCCACAAACTTGCATGAACTACCATTGAAGTTATGAAACAACAGCATAATTTACAGATTTATGATATGAGACTCTGTGCTAACACAACTGTCACTTAACATAAAAATGGCAGATTGCGTTAAGGAAAGAAGTGCTAGCGTGAAGAGGAATAATGTGTCAAAAAGTATCAGGTGGCACAGTTATGATTAGACTTAAACTGTGATGATCAAACATGCAGAACAAATAAACTGTGAAGGGGAAAGAAAATAGTGTCTCTCTGAAGGCAGAAACAACAAGAACTGGAATTTATGCCATTTCTACAAGAAAATTTTTGTTTGTATGGATTCAAAGGAAAACAGGAATGCCAGATTAATTCAATGTCATTATTCAACATGCAGCTGAAATTTTAAGCCCAGCTCTGAATGATGTGTACAAATGATGCAGAGGGAAAGGTTTTTCTTTATGGCAAAAAAAATGATACAGAGGAAAGGGTTTTCTTTATGGCAAAGATCTTTACTGTGCAAGAAGTTACCATCATGTTTCAAGGCAATGCCGATAAAATGCCAGTGTAGTTATTTTGATGTGCCATCCATCAATGATATAGTTGGAAAATCTCTTGTCAGGGAACATCAGGCAGTGAAAAAGATGCGAGAAACTGTAATGTTGACAGAGCTGGGAGACAGCACTAACTACTACCATATGCGACACTAAATTTAAAAACTATGCTTAAGTCGTAACTGCCTAAGGGACAAATAATCCGATACCAAGCTAAGGGATGGATGACTAAATGAACTGATAAGGAACTGCTTACAAGTTTTCTGGAAGAGACCACGAGTATTGTTTAGAAAACAAGGAATGCTTGTGCTGGATACATTCGAAGGTCATTCATGAATGGATATCAGATGTCATTCATGCAATGAACAGACTTGATAGTCATGCCTGGAGGGACAACTTCATTAACTATATGTTCTAGTGAATAAGCCTTTTAAGGGTCATTCAAAACAACTGTAATCTGTATTGCCCTTAATAGGGGGGCCGTGTTCTGATACCACCAGGATAATAACAAGAATCAATGTGGAATTGCTGTGATAGTGGACCAAGAACATGGCAATGGATCTCTCCCAAGGTGATCGTCAAATTATTCTAAAATGGTGTACGTCTGATGAAATGGACAGAAGGGAGGATGAAGATGAAGCTGGGAATATTGGCAGCAAATGTGAGAGTGTGAGCAGTGAACGTGAGGCAAGATGGAAACTGTGAAGACACTGAAGCTAAGACAGATGACAGCATAGTGAACACAGTGACACTGATGAAGCTGAATAAAGGCTAGTGACTTCAAGAAGGAAAGTGACTCAATAAAGATCATGTATAACATGTTTTCTAATATTTACTGTCTTTCATACATCTCTAATGAGTATGAAATTACTTTTCCTGTGCTGAAAAGTTTCCTAGTGTGAGGTCATTTTATGTCTGGAATCATCTTCCATTTGGGTAATTACAGTAGCGGACTGAAAATGTCATCCTCATACATGTCTACTATCTGCATTAACATTTCTGTAATGATGATTAAACAATTAAATCAACTGTAATGTTAAAATTCATTGCGCCTCAGAAGAAAACATAAAGAGGTTTACTTTTTCCTTGTTTATCTCCTTATTTATTTACAGTACTGTTACAGGTAAGACAGACTATACATGGGGTTTGGATTGGTAATCAGATTTCTTGAACTCTTACAACTTGTAACTACAAGGATTATGCTCTCACAATTCTACACACTTCACAGTTCTCTATAGGACATATTATGTCTTTTCAGTCTGCTAGTCTTCATTAGCCATTGACTAACTCTCTTGGCCAGTCGTCAGTTAAACTGCTGCTGGCCTTCACTGGCACAGTCATTCCTGGCTTCAGTCTTCTCAAGATCCATGACCAAGATTTTTATTCTGTCATACACATGTATGTATTTTGAAATTGGGCATCCTTTGCTACAAAGGAGGGGGTCCATCATTTGTATGGAGGTGCTACATTTGTTGCACAAGTTTCAGCATGAGTATATATGTGCTGTCACAACTCCCAGGTCACTACTGACTCTGTGCATCCTTTATCAGTGCACTCTGCAAAGTAACATTTATAAGACATACAGAGGTTTCCTGCTGATGAAGGCTTATGTAGCAGGTTATGCTTTAATTTATGCAACTGTTCTGAAACTTAAGTTAGCCAGCTGAATGGTCACAGGCCTGATCACTGCCAAGTTTAAGCCTCTTATACTTCCTATGTCTAGCTTCTCCTTGCTCAGTATCATGCACATTTGGATTTACATGGTTTAGGATTACTTCTGCTTGAGTCCTGCATAATTTAGTTACCTAGTCATATATATATATATATATATAAGGAATTTTGAAAGCCACGTGCAATTCGCAGACTGGTGTGCACCTGTCATGATTTTCAATAGAACGGAGTACTCTGCTCTGCAGAGGCCGCAATTTCAAGAGGTGAGTGTCTGCTATATACTCCCAGGTGGGACAGGCATAGGTCATAACTGACCTATCCAGAGCCTTGTAAAACATAAGTTTAATATTTGTGAAAAAGTTAAACAGTTCCGTCCAGTGTGACTGGTTAAGATTTTCTTATTTCAATTATTCATGCCCTTACATGTTTTGGTCTTCAGAAACCATCTTCAGAGGGACACCTTTAAATCAATACTGTTAGAAGCCACCATTACAGTACATGTTCTAAAAGTTAAAATCTATACATACAATATAAACAATATACAATTGGCTGTAAAATCTAAAGTCTTTACAACTACAGCGGCTGTTCCAATACTTTAAAATATAGTGACGTGTTGCGCAATGGTAATAGGCAGGTCAACATCCTCCCGCCCCTCCCCCCCGCCAGCGGTGACGTGCCAAGCAGAGCCGAAGTTAGCTGAGTCCCAGCATCCTGGTAGGTATGCAATGCGAGTCAAGAGCGGTGACGTCACCAAGGGATACCGCGGTTGCTAGGCAGCAGTAAACAACTCCGGACAGCGTTGCTAGCAACACGGCACCAGACAACAATGGTGCCTATTACGTGGCCGTATTCTGTGTTGTGAGGAACGAGGCTACATAAGGCGCAGCAAAGGCTATTCCCAGTTAGTTCTCAAGGCAGCTACCTACGAGTTAGTCACGAGTCAGTTCCGAGCAAGCCTACGAGTCAGAGTGTGTGATCAACAAAGTTCTCAGTTCGCGAGTTACGAGTTATGGACGCGTGTGTGAGAATCAGTGATAGTTTGATAACCGAGAATTGGTAGTGTGTAACACAGTGACACTTGTATAGCTCCCGTACTGTGAAACGTGTAGTCTACTGACAATAGCGTGATTTGATTTGCGAATAGGGTTATAAATTGCGAAACCCTGCAATATTGTTATAATTAATTGCAGCCGAGATTTGTAGGTTGTTAAATAAACCAATTAACGATCTCTACGGCGTATTCAGTAACAAAACACGTTACAATATTTATAGTTAGTTTGTTAAGATTCTATTGGAATTTGTAAACCAAGCCGGTTCGTGTCGTCCCTCTTATTATTTCTTTTGACAGGGGCTGAATGTGTGCCACCTTGTCGTTCTTGAGAAGAGGGTTCTTTACTGTTGTCCTGTATGTGTTTATGGCCCGCTGTGTTGTAAAAACAAGAAATAAGAAAATCTTAACCAGTCACACTGGATGGAATTATTTAACTGTTTCATAATAGTAGTGTGACGGACCAGAATGAAACAAATCAAATTTAATATCTGTACTCAAATGCCCACTTCTGAAGAGAGAATAGGTCCTTACATACGTGTGAAAGGACTTGGGTACAGTCCTTTCAGTATGGTGTCTCTGTGTCATCCTCCTGTAGAAAGTGACACCAAGGTACGGTACATTATTTACAAGAGGATGCCTCTTCCATTTAGTTGTAGTATGTCCTCAGGGACCCTTAAGTCTTCTGTCGTAGTAGATAATCTGAGTTTTCCTTTCACTGATCTTTATGCTCTAGCATTCATGCCAAGAATTCACTGCAGTGAGTCCTTACTCATTTTGCAGAGAACATGATGTTCATGTTCTTCTGTCACATAAATAGAGGTATCATTCATGAAAAGAGAAAGATGAGTCCTGATGCTATTGGGGGAACCATTTATGTATAGACTGTACAACACTGGGGCAAGGACAGAACCTTGAGGAACTCATGCAGCTATTTTTCTTGGCACAGAAGATTCACCTTCTACCAAGACATTAAATTTTCTGTCAGAGAGAAAGAAGCAATTAGCTTAATGAGAAATGTTATATTTTAGCGTCCTGTTACACTGATTCATTTCCATGGTTTATGCTAACCGTCTTACAGTGTATACACTTTTTCACCTTATTCTTCACTTCCACACTATATGTTTCAGCACTAATGTGCCATCCTCAGGTGTCTTTATGCACGTTAAACTATTGTACTGCATGCCATGATGTCTTCATTAATTCATTAATGAGACTCGTCAAAAATTCTAATTCTGACAATTTATATAGTAGGCCAGAGTGTCATGTTGTGTTGAAGGCTATCTCAGTATCCGTGAACAAAGCAGCTGTCAACATACTTTTGTTGAAATTTAGGACGGTAAGATCTGTTAGCCTCATACATCGAAGTGTCATACTGTGATCTGCTTGAAAGCCAAACTGAGTTGCATTCAGTAAGTTCCTTTCCTCAGCGTGTTTCTAGATTGACCTTAAATTCAGCTTCTCAAATAGTTTACATGTAGTGGACAAGGGCTGATCGGACATAAATTCTGGAGAAATTGTGGGTCTTTGCAAGATTTCAGCAGAGTTATGATTTTTTCCTCCTTCCAAGGTGCAGGGAAGTGCCCAAGCTGAAGGCAGTGATTGAATAAATGTGTTAAACGCACAAGAGGTCATCTCAGAAGATGCCAGAGAAATTCATTTGGAACACCATCAAAACCAGATGACTTTCATAATATCAAGGACTGTATTTCTTCTGAGATATTACAGGGTTGGAAATTAACAGGGATGTCTTCATTAACAGTAGTCAGCAGGGCTTCGACTTGAGCCTCCACACGTCGTATATGGTCATGGTAGCACAAGTCATCTGTTCTGAACCGGCATTCTAAGCAGTATGCGATTATGTTGGCTTTATCAATTTGATAAAATATTGGGCCTATGGCAACATGAAATGCAGATGGTGCCTTTGGTCCACCCCCTTTTGAGAGGGGTTTTGTAACAGGCCATATTGCTTGAGGTTTGACTTTGTAGTTTGCCAACTTTGTTTCCCATCTTTCAAGTGTTCTTTTCCAGACCATTCTCCCGATATTTCAAGTGATCCAGTTTACTGCCATTTTGCACACTGGATCCCTGGTTTCTTGACATAATTCTCTGGGCTTTCTTGTATGCTTTAATAAATGATCTAGGCCAGGTATTTTGTATTTCCAGTCTAAAAGTGTAGTTTCTCTAGTCAATATCATTTATGCTGAGGCTATAGAGACTGCAAAGTCACACGCTGTTTTTTCAACTTCATTAGAAGAGTGAATTTGGATATTTGGAGATATGAGTTGAGAGGCAAGGCTTTGAAAAGCTCTCAGTGTGTCAGTTTTTCAATTGGATCTAAAGCTTCGTTCTAACAGGGTCCAGAAAGCTTATCATTATTGGTAGGTGATCCAAGTCTAGAATGTCAGTGATAATAACTTCTGACAGTCAGATATTCTAATACACTACAATGTTGACACCACATCTCAGGGCTTAGATCTGAGTTTCAGGCCTCCATAATATAAAGCAGGACTCCCATCTACTCAACAGCAACATTCAGTATTTTTAGTCTGGTTTAATTTTAATAGAATAATTGTAATAAGTAATTTTTAATGCTGATTAAAGGGTTAATTGTGATAAAATTCTTTCAGGCAGACTTAGGAGATGTCAAGGGGGACCTGTGACCCCAGAACCTTAAAACATAACCTATTCACACCAACAGTAGAACTAAGCAAATGGATAGGATATCAGCACTTTCATTTTTATCTTATGAAAGCTACCCAGAGGGGGTTAATGGAGAAGCTTAGTAAGTGATAGTGACATCACTACTAAAAGAGGTGCAGAGGTGCAGGATGTGAGCTAAAAAAACAGGCATTGAAAGGGAGTTCCTTTCCCAGAATTATGCCTAGGGGGAATGAGGCTTATAAGCAGATGAGGATCATAACAGCCACTAACAGAAGGGAGTGAACATGATGCTATACTGCACAATAGATCATTTAAGGTCATGTATGTATGTATCTGTGTGTGTGTGTGTGTGTGTGTGTGTGCATGTAACATAGATAGAAATGTTGAGCAGCAAAACCTCACATAACCCCTGGCAATGCACACATACAACATATCTGATAAACTGGACCACAGCTAATTCATTAATTCTAGTATAAAACAAAATACTTCATGCTGCATCACTGAGATCTCACCTTGTACAGTTCTTCTAATGGCATCGCTGGCTATGAATTTTGAGTACATCTTCTGTTGAATGTCTGTGAGTCTGATGCAGACCACTTGCTCTATCTTTACTGGCAGATACTTAGACAGTAAAGCAGATGTGCGGCGAATTAGACAGCGGTTAACAATAGCTGCTAGCTCATCTAGACATGACTGACCTTTCTGTCGTTCCTCCAACGTTGCCATAGCATCCTGTCCTCGAAGTATTGGAGTTTCAAACTTGCGTCTGAATTCCTGAATAACAAAATAATTCCACCAACAGGCTGGTGTAGAAGTAATGCTCTAGACTTGTGTGTAGGAGGTGCTTGGCTTGTATCTCACTCCAGACACCATCCTGACAGGTTTTCATGGTTTCATCAGTCCCTTCACACAAATGCCAGGACAGTACTTTGATTAGGCCACAACTTCCTCCTTCCAAATCCTTTCCAATTTGTCATTCACTGACCATTCTACAGTCCAGATACTGACAGCATTGTTAAGTAACCCACAAGAAAAGAGAAGAAAACCGATGAATATGTAAATGTGAATGTAAAATGGTGCAAAAATGTGACAAATACGTGAAAATAAGAATTCTTATGTTGTCAGACATATAGAAAACCCTGAATTTTTAAATTGATCATGATTATGCACTCTATGGTATTAATTTCCATTTGCTAAGATGTCTTCCTCATGTCACAGAATAATTTGAGGCACTACATACAAGACAGATGCATACCTCAACGAAACAATAATTAGAAAATGCAAGTACATATACACACATATGCAAGTGAAAAATACTGTTTCCTAAAATTAGGAAATTTTGGTAAAAATATTAAGATTGACAAATGTTGGTAACTTAGCTCAATAAATAATATGATAACCTGGGAGTCAGGTGAGTTACAAATTACCAGGAAAAAATAACACGACTATGAAAGATTTCTGTTTGTATTACATTTATATAATAAGCAAAAGCACAAACCTGAGCAGTTCCCAGAATCCCTTGGTTTACAAAGTGTACCAAACTGTAATATTCAAGCAAATCATTCTGTATTGGTGTGCCAGACAGCAGGACACGTCGTTTGGCATTTAGTCCCATGAGAGCCTGGTAAGTTTGGTTTTCACTGTTCTTCAAACGATGACCCTGTTGAAGAATGAAAAAAATACATTTTATAATTATATATCACTCTTCTGTGATAACAGACTTAACAATGCACAATTTCAAGATGACTTTCATGACTCACAGCAACAGTACTTAAATTTCAGTTTGAGATATTGATGACTTTTGTTGAGTACCTTGTGCAATCATGGGTACATAATAGAAAATATTTTTGGACTTTTGATCATACTTTTCACTTTCAAGGCAATGAAAATGCATACTTTCTAATTTTTTAGTGCCTAAGAATCCATTCCCTAGCGATAATTTTATTTTTGTCCTCAAGTATATAGAAAAAATAGTAATTATACCAGATAATAGAATACACTACAAACAGCTCTGTGTCAATTATACAACACTGGAACTAAATACAGATTTTAAATACCTATACATGAGGCCCTACACCAGTATGACAAGAACTCATTCTGCATAACAAAAGTAGTGAACAACTGAATACATTTTAAAGTCCCGGAACGGACAATATCTTAAGTGGGGGAAATTGACCTCAAACACAAGAGTAGAAAGATGTAATCAAATGTATGGTGCTATTAGAAGAACCACTTAAAATAATACACAGAAAGACACACAACAGAAATTTTGTAAGACAATGCATGTCAGCGGTAGCTTGTATGGTAGTGAAGCATCAACTGAGCTGACAAGAGAGAAGAATAAGCTTCATGTGGAAGAAATGAAATCTTTGAGGTTGCCAGTTTTGGTAACAAAAAAGAGAGTATGTGATGACTAGAAGTGTTTGGCCTGGTCCATGGCTGACTCCAAACCAACCAATGAACCATACATATCTGAACACTCCATTCAAATTCAAACACAGAACCATCCAACCTGCAGAAATCACCAACATTGTACCCACTGTATAGGAAGCTGGGTGGGCTTAAGAGCCAGTCTAGACATTATGGAGAAGAGAGAATCTCTTGCCCCTAATGGGGACTGAACCCCAACCCATTAATCATCTAGCCTGTAGCATAGTAGTTAAACCAAGTGAGCTACCCCAGCTCCCTAGTAGGTGTAATTACTTGTATTAAACTAGGTATATTTGATGAACTTCTGCTACTTATTTAGGAATTTATCAATTTAATTGTATAAGAACAATATGAATTTATTTAATTTTTGCAGTTTGACAGATAAGAGATAAAAGATACAGATTCAACAGAGAACTATTATTGGTGTTGAAAAAGCATATAATAATATAAGCAGACAGGAAACTTGAAGATTGTTACAAACAGAAAATATTTCCAAGGGTCTGATGGAAGGAATTAAATACATCTATGATCAGATATGAGAAAAATGCGGTCAAGATGACAAATAAACTTAATGGTTTTGGACTTTTAGAGAAGTTAGACAGAAAGGTGTCTTATGCCATGTTGCTCAGCATGTATGAAACAATAAGTATTGCAGAAGGACAAGATAATGGAATATAAGGGAGCATGTATTGTCATGTGTATGAGTGACTACAGATGGGGTTTGGATTGGTAATTGGACATATTGAACACTTACTGATCATAACTACACTTAACTACAGTGCTATTGTTAATTCACACATTCTACAATTCACTACAGCATACACAAAGTCTTTTCAGTCTGCTGTGTCTTCACCAGTTGTTGCTGGTAATGGCTTCCAAGGGTGGGCACTCCCCTTACTCTGGGTTCCCAAACTATCATCATGTCTCAGTTACCAGCTTCTACAGCAGACCAATTAGCTAAAACTGGAGCTGAACATCCATTCGTGGGACCTGAACCAGCCTGTGGCATCTATCTAGGAGTTGCCAAACAGGCAATCAGGGACTGGACTAACATAAAACATAAGAAATACTGGGAATCCTTAACTGGACTCAGGCAAGCTAAGGGACTCATACGAGGACCTTCCGCTAAAAGAGCGAAGGAACTGTTGAAGCTCAACAGGAACCAGCTACAACGGGTGGTAGGACTACTTACAGGACACTGTCACCTCAAAGGATACCGGTTCAAACTGGGACTAAGTGACAGTCCCACTTGAGAGAGGTGTCAGATAGAAAATGAAACAGCCACACATGTCCTGTGTGAATGTGAGGCTTTAGCTTATTTAAGACTACGTCACTTGGGTCAGTACTTTATGGAACCAAGTGACTATTTTGACGCCCCCACGTCCAAAATCCTGCACTTCATCCGAAGTGCGGGGTTGCTGAGGGAATAATTAAAAAAATGGGAAGCACAATGGACCACTGAGGTCTAAGTGCAAGGGCCGAGAAGGGCTACCCCTTCATACATACATACCAGCTTCTAACAGCAACATCTCACAATGACCGAACTGTAGCAGTCCTCTAACTTACTGCTCACCCACCAACTTGTTTCATTACACTGTACTCAACTGCACTGCACTCATTAACTGAAATGACCTAGGTCAGTTGAGTCATACAAGTATAGCCTTGGAGCAGACCCACTGTCTTGAAACAAGACCTTGAGGGGCGCATTCTTGCGATGTCACTTTATTACTCTTCCACGTAACTACAATTCAACATAACTATAACACAAAATGTTGAATAAGTAATTTCACAATGGTCCTTTTGTGTTAACAACTCTGACTAGACTGTAGCATTGTGGAACTGTAAACTCCCCGTGCTGGCTAAGCACTGGTTTCTGTCAACACACTGCTTTTGTTGGCATCCACTGGATTGACAGTACCCCTGCCACAGCCAATATATATATATATCAGACAAGTGGGAAATGTCACCTCCAGCAGCACAGCTCCTCTGCTGTTGCATCACAACGGGGAAGTGTTTACTGGCAATGTGTGCGTTATCACAATTCCCAACATCCACAGACAACACTGCTTGCAATATCTTCTATTGTTGCGTGGTGTCACTGCAGACATGACGAATTCCTCTGTAGCATGTCTACAGGCCATTACATAGCCATGGGTCTCTATGCTATATTACATACATATGACATACTATAATGGGAACTGAATGAAAGTTACCATGTTCTAATGGGTCAATACTTGTACACGTGTAACATTATCATGTTTAAAACATAAGAGCAACACTGTTTCCTATGCAGCAGTCTGCACGTTTAATAACAGTAAGATTTTAAATGTATGTCACTTACCTCATCGCATAACACCAGTCCAACTTCACTCTTATGAAGGACAGAAGCATGCAGTCTGAAGGTCTCGTATGAGATAACCAGAATTGGGTTTACAGGCCTGCGTGAGTATGTCTGCATAAATCCTTCCAGGTCTCTGTCAATTTTATCTTTGGAGGATGAGTCAATAACCAAAACATTCACTCGTCCACACAGCCACTTGTTAATTTCATTGTACCAGTTCTGCAACAATATAAACTGTCATTCAGTATAAATTATAAGAGTTTCTCAAGACATGGGCCAATACAACTTCCTTTAAATGACACAATATCTACCCTTATAGATCCATGTGAACATGTTTGATGAATTGTAGCAAATTTTGAGTAGATACACATCTGACACACTTCCAACTCAGAACAATTTAAAAGATCATGCTTTATCTAAAACTGTTTCTGTACTAACATAGTCTGTCAACAATGCAACAAATTGTTCCTTCTTTCTTACACTTTCACTTTCGACACAACATGATTCGGCCCTAAATGGCCATCTTCAGGTGTCTTACTATGATAAAACTACTACACTGCACTAATACTGTCCATTCGTCACATATGCAACTGCATGCTTCATGATTTAAAACGATATAATTGTCAAATGGTATGCTTGACTGTGCAGTACATAAACAGTTTTAGATATAGCCATGCACTGGGATGCTTAAATACAGGATAACATGCTTTTTACTTTTCCCATAGTCTATACTATAAAGTGTCCTTTAATCTTGAATAATAGACAACATTGGAGCTTTGACACAGCCATTACAAAATCTATATATATTCCAATATATTCTAAGAAAATACATTACTCCTGATGACACAGCTCGTGGCAGGAAATCTTGTTCATCCAAAGTTCATGGATGTATTATTACCAACCTTTACTAGTGAGCTAGGAGCCACTACAATTGCTTTATCAATTGTTGGTTTGCAGTCAGACCCTTGCTTCAATAGTGTCCACATCAATGTAATACACTGAAGTGTTTTCCCCAGTCCCATCTCATCTGCCATGATGCACCCATAGCTTCCTGGTATGCGCTGACCAGTCACACATTCATACATGAACTTCACACCCTGTGGATGACCACAACAGTCAAATTAACCCACACAGAATTATGAAGCAGAAAGAAATTTCAAACATCATATTCATTTTCACATTTCCTGTCAAACACAATTTTCTTTTCTTTTCATCAGCTTCACAAAGTATGTTATAACAGTTAAAAAAATACTTATTCCTTTAAGTTCTATTTTCTTTAACATGTTACAACAAGGTTATACATCTCTAGGTATTTCCTGCCAACATTGGTGACAAGACGATTAATGTACAATGACAAAAGTTCTAATGCAGTCTATGTTTACAATTAAACTCACTCTAAGAGCACTCACCTCCCTCTGATGGGGACGTAGGACATTTGATAGTGATGGATCTACCACAACATGTACTGGCTGCTTATCACTGTAAATACAAAGACACTTCATAAGGGTTTATTCTCCAACTCATGAAACTGTATCATAAGAAAGCATTCATGAATCTTCCACCTAAGGAAGAACATTTTAATGGATGCAGATAATACCTACATAACAGAATGTCATGGGGTAATAATTACAGATAACTGATTCACATCTCAATTTGGGACTGATTATCCTTAATTAATTTTGTGACTGTATTCAGTACCTCTACAGTTATGAAGGAACAGTATCCCTAAAACAGGCTGCAACAACCACTTTCTCCCACATCTCATTCATTATCATTTTTTATCTCGGCAGTTGACTTAGGCTGGGGCCACACGAGAGCACAAAATGCGTCCGTTGTAACGAACATCGTGATATCCGTTGTAGAAATAAACAAGAGAGACAAATGCTAAACGTAATTCTGGCTTCACTGCAGACAAAAAACTACGCACCGCACTCTGCAACTGTGTGGTGTCCTCAGCAACATCCGTCATAAAGTACGTTCATTGCAATGGACGTACTTTGTGCGCTCGTGTGGCCCCAGCCTTAGTGTTGCTGCATGATCTAAGAAACAAGAATGGAAAGGTGTATTCCACCAGACTACACTTATTTTCCAACTGCATCCTTCATGATTCTGTATATCTGACTGGCATATGTTCAGTTATTGCAGATACATATTCAGTGCTGCACAGCTAATTACTTTACAGATATTACAATGGACGGTCAGAAATTATTTCTCCTTGTGTCAAGTAGTGTACAGTTTCAATTCAGAAATTATGTTATACAGCGAACAAATTATTTGCTGCTCTTTGTAAATCCCTACCAATCTTTTGCTTGTAACACTACTTTAAAATTCATCACATTATATAAATTAAAGCATTTGGAGTGTAAGTCAAGAAAACACAATAGTTAACAAAAGGACATCAGACTATCTTAATTCAACTGCTGCGCACTGACAGCTAGGAAACACCATGACCTGCAAACCTGTCTAGAACAATTCGAACATGAGCATGCATGTAAGATTTGAGGATTTTATGGCTGTGACTATGAAGAATGTTGTCTTCTGGGATGTGGTGCCATGTAGATCCTTTGTGAATCGACATTTCGGAGGAATGTATTGCATCCATCTTCAGGGTAGAAAAATCTGCAAGTGAGGAACCAGCTTGAGCAGGTGGTTGCAGACTCACTGGTTCCTTGCTCACGGATTTTTCTACCCTGAAGATGGAGGCAGTACGTTCCTACAAAACTCGGTTCACATAGGATCTAAATGGCACCACATCCCAGAAGACGGCATTCTTCATGAGCATGCATGTTCTAGCAAAGCCATGTATACTGAAACATATTTGTGTTTCAAATACAAATTCAGTAATAACATTTGTAGTTCATGTAATCATTAAATAACCCTCTCATCAAAATCATTGACACTACAGTGAAGAAGACCAAGAAAACACAAACCACTTACAGATCCATTTTCAGCTTGTCATGAGCAGTGAATTCTGGTGGTTCATACAATATGAGTGCACCTGGCTCACTGGGGTCATGCAGAGCACATCGACATCTGTTTCTTCCAATACCCAGAAAGCGCCCACCAAGTATACCCTGGTAGTTTGGTATTGGCACTTTGAAAGGCTTAGATAACAACTTCCTGATGAGAGCTTCCTGCAATGCAAGCTTTATTAGACTTCTAGGAATGTACCACTGTTGTATGAGGGTCGTACTAAAAGTCATGACCAACAATTTTTTGTAAAGTAACATGCTTTATTATTGACAAACCAAATACACCACCTCAATCTACCAAGCTTTCTTTATTTCTCCACATAATCGCCACTTTTTTGTACACATTTCTCCCAGCATTCTGGGAGTTTGAAAATTTCCCTTCTGTAAAATTCTGTTCCAGCCATCCGAAGACACTGACACACTGCTTTCTGAATTGCCTCCCTTGTCTCAAAACATTGTCCACGCAGCTGATCATTCACAAATCTGAAAAGATGGTAGTCGGATGGTGCCAGATCAGAGCTATAGGAGGGGTGTGGAAGAATTTCCCACTCCATCTTTGCAATTGCTTCCAATGTGACCTTTGTGGTCTTCGGTCAACAACAGCGGGACCCAACGAACACAAACTTTCCTATAGCCCAAGCTTCCAATCATCTCCTGTACTGCACTGTGCCCTATTCGAAGTTTTCGGGCTATTGTGTCCACGGTCACACGCCTGTCATCTTCAATGATCTCATCCACTCTTTCCTTGTTGCGTTCAGTTGAGGCTGTTTGAACCGACCGCTCCGAGGCTCATCTTTGCTGCTGGTGTTCCCATCTTTAAAACGTTTCACCCATCTTCAAACACTGCTCGCACCCATGCACACAGTTCCACAAGTACGTTGAATTCAGAAAGCAGTGCATCAGTGTCTTCGGATGGCTGGAACAGAATTTTACAGAAGGGGAATTTTCAAACTCCCAGAACGCTGGGAGAAATGTGTACAAAGCAGTGGCAATTATGTGGAAAAATAAAGAAAGGTCTGCAGATTGAGGTGGTGTATTTGGTTTGTCAATAATAAAGCATGTTACTTTACAAAAAATTGTTGCTCATGACTTTCAATATGACCTACGTACATGTACAAAGAAGGACAAGCATACCACCTATTGTAATTAAAATCATTCCTTCATAATTATTATTCTATCCTCATGCATTTGTAATTAATAAACATATCTTCACATTTATATCTTTTGATTAATTTGCACTGAACTAATGTCTTGAAAGTTCTGGTTCCCATTATTTTACCTAAATATATATATTTATAATATATATATAANACCTACTTTTATATTTTTTAAACAACACAGTATATATACGTTTTCAAGAACAATAGACCACTGTAGGTCGTGGTGCAAAGGCCGAGAAGGCCCACCCCTTATACATTCATATATACATTTTAGCTAAAGGTGTTTGCATTTGCCTGATGAAGACTGCATGCAGTCGAAACATGCTGTGAAAAAGAAAAAAGAAAATAAAAACTATTTTTATTGTATGTTTGTGAGACAGTTGTTATATATCCTATAAAAGTCATAAACAGGATGCAGTCCAATAAAAATTATGCAAGTTGCTACTCACATGCTCTGAAACAATCTCTGGAGTTCGGGGTTGTTGCTGAAGAGCAGGCAACTGCACAAGGGGTTTACGGGATGGTTCCTGGCAGCATCTTTTGTTCAGTCTCTTAGGAGTAAGTGGCCTGTCTTCACTGCCACGTTTTGCAACCTGACTTGGAGCAAGACTGCGCCTCTGTGAATAACACCACTTACATATAAATAACTTTACAATACAATGGCTGTGCATTTAGCCTCACAGGCAGGTACCCACATATATATTGTCAAATTCATACAGGGTCTGAGAGTCACTTAATCTTCCTAGACGAAAAATAAACAATGCAAATTAAATTAAATTAATGAAATATCAACTTCACCTAACCTGTCACAAAACACAAATGTCAAAGTACAGGGAGGATTTTAAACAGGTTGGCGAATTCATAGCTCCGCGCTTCACGGCGACTGGAGCACTGCGTGCTGTGGGAAACATGCAAGTTTTGCTGATGACTCAGCACGCTTGATGGCCGATAACATTTGGAATGAAGGAAAATAATTAACTTGTAGATTTCTACATGGTATTATGTTCATGCAAGAACGGTTTGATTTGTCAGCAGTAGGTAGCAGTTATCAACGCCATGAGCCATTTGTTCCCAGTTAACAGTTAGTCAGCAGCGTGGTATGATATGGTTTGCTATTATAGAGCAACGTGTATTTCTGTATGACACCTACGTGACATATGGATCTGCTGGAAAACAAAAAACAAACTCCGTGAATTTAGTCTGCAAGCGAACTATACCAACCGAGCAACAGCTGCTTGTCAGCGAAGTTAGTGACAACTTTTGCAGATAGAGGGTGCCGCATGGTCAGTGCAACAAATCCCCACAGCCATTAATTTCAGCCGCTATTTCCTTGAAATAGCTCCTCACTTATCCTTACAAGGCTGAGTGGACCCCGTCCCAGAACCACTACTTCTCAGAAAATCTGATAGTGCCGGGAATCGAACCCAGACCTCTGGATCTGTAGCCAGGAACTCTGACCACTAGACCACAGAGGTGGTCCAAGCATCTGCTGAAAAGTGTTGGCAAAATTTTTGGTACAAATTTCATGATGAAAGAATTCCCAGCAGACAAACAATTCACAATTTGGTGAATGAACTTAGAAAAACAAAACTCTAAGAAAAAACATAAGCAACGAGTGCTTACTGATGAGAAGTTAGTTGACAAATGGGCCAGACTTGAACATACACTTAGAAAATCACTGAAACATCTAGCTCAAGAGACTGGAGTGTCAAAGTCTAGTGCAAGAACGGCAACACAATTGCTGAACCCATCCAGTGAAAGTTTGTCTCTGGTGTGCTGTAAGTGCAAGAAGGATTGTTGTACATTTGTTTTTTAATGAAACAATTAATTGCAAAAGATATTTACAAGTGGAGGGACAGCATTTTCAACACCTCCTGTGATCTGTGAACAAAAGTAAGAACTTCACTTCATTCCAAATATTATTAGCATGCTGAGTCATCGGCAATATTCGCATGCCCTCCACAGCAAGCAGTGCTCTGATCCCCGTAAAGCACAGGGCTGCAAACATGTCAAGTTTACTAAAAAAACACCCTGTAGAAGCAAAACTCTTGAAGGTTAAAATACAACAACTATGTCTGTTGTTAGATGTAAAGCAAAGAACACACAACTTGTTGTCATAATGTAAAGTTACATCCATACTAGTACTTGCCTTTATGAAGTTACAGAATTTTTTATTAATTATCAAAATCCTAATGCTGATATTTCCTTAGTGGACTTAAATTACTTGTGAACAGCGACAGCGACACCATGAAGGCGTACGGGGGAGTAGGCAGCTTCATGCCCCTGCCCCTGCCCCTTTATCCCCCAGGAAAGAGCCCCCAGTACCCACTGTATAGGAGATTAGGTGGACCCCAGACCTGGTCTGGACGACATGGAGAGAGAAAATTCTAGACCCTACGGGACTCGAACGCCAACCCCCCTGTCGTCCAGCCTGTAGCCAATTACTATACTACTTGAGCTATTCCAAACAGTTCTGAATTTAATTATAATATATAATGGACACCATGTTTGTATTATATCTGCAGCCAGTTCTATTTTGCTTAAAATATGCTTTGAAGTACTACATATGCTTACTGTTCTAGTAGCAGTGTTTAAACAAATATTTCCTCCTATTCATTAGACATATGTTTGTATTTTGCTAGAAACTTCAAATTCGGTGTAAGGTTAGACTGACTCTAGTTATTTCAGTTGCGTTTGATGTAATTTTAAATTACAGCATACCTACCTTGGGCATAATAAATAAAATACGAATTGAGAATGTTTACAATTGGTGACTGTGTGGGTGCATGCTGTAAAGGCTCACATTCATATAACTTAATATAAACTTATTCCTTGGTGTTTTTGTCTTCAATTCGGTTGAGATATATTTGTGTGAGTAAAGCAACTGACTGGAAAAAACGGTTTCTCATTTCATTTTCCGTATTTACCAGTCTGAAGGACAAGATAAGACGAAACATAAAAGTACGAATTACTTCCCAAATCGATTATCTACACTGACATCACTGTCTCAGAAAAGCGGATCAAATGTTTGGGTGTGAAAAACAATATTCGGCGAAAGACAATTACACGAGTTCCATCTTACATGTAGGTATTATACACCAAAATAAGATGTCAGCGAGCTGCATCAGACCTTCTAGTAAACTAATCCGACGGAATAACCGAGTATTCTACAAAAACACTGTAAATACAATCACATTTGGCGTGATATTTCATAATCTATATAGTACGAATGCACACTTACCATAGCACTGCTACTTTTGATACATTACTAACACTTATAAATAAATACACTAACAGTAACTCAGGATGGTGTTTGTCTTTGGCTTCTCCAAAAGGTGTATCGTTAATTTTGACTGCCATGTGTGATAACCACAAGGTATGCTACGGAACGCTACGGATTCTACGGATACCGCCAAAAGTTGAAAATAAATCGAATGGTCCATTGCCACAGATTACTAATACCATTTCGCCGCCAACTATGTCACGGAATATAGTAAAGATCGATTCTGTAAACACCGAATTCTCACGCGTAACTTGTTTCAAGGGTTAGAACGTTTAAATGTATTAAGCCGGATTAGCGCAAAGAGTGTGCCAAAAGCGCCGAGTTGGGAGAAGTGGTGCATTTGATGTGTAATCACTCCTTACAGGAATTGAGGTGGTAACGTAAAATGAATGAATGATAAGTGTTGTCAATGATGAAAAGGCGCATGTTCGTAGAGTACTGGTAAGTTCACAAACAAAAAAAAAAACGATGATATCTGCAAGTCTTAGGCCACCCATACACACAGTTTGGCCTCCCGATCGACCTTACAGACAAAACTGTGACAGTTTACCACCTCCTTTTCCTCCCCATACACGCGCAGATAAAGCGGCAGGCTTCATGCCACAATCACGGTCTTCCAGCCTATAATGTTGTCACACACGTCACTTGCTACGGTCCTGCCGGCAGAACTGACGGGTTTCCCACAGGCCAACAGTCCAAACGATTGGCCGGCCGGCCGCACCACACGTCAGTTTTGCCTTTAAGTCTTCAACTGTGCAGGCCGAACTGGAGGCCAAACTGTGTGTGTGTATGGGGGCCCTTAGTCTGTTATGTGAGACCAGGCCTAAGAGTTGAAGAAAGCCGTCTCCTGGGATGTGGCGCCGTGTAGTTTTTGTGTGAACAGACGTTTCGGGAACGCATCGCCTTCATCTTCAGAGTAGAAAAATTCGCGAGCGAGAACCAGCGTGAGCAGGTGACTGTAGACTGCGTAAATACGTTTATTGGTCATACAATGTCGCAACATGTTTCGGCTCATGGAGCCATCAGCAGGCGATACATTAACAAACCTTGTACTATTGAAGTATGCCTCTTATATGGATTCACACATGTATACATATAGATATTCCTGGAAAGAAGACATACAGAGACTTAAATTTGACTTCTGAACCCTAGCAGTGAATGAGGAAATCAACTTTTTTCAGCTGCCTCAGAATAAGATTCAGTTGTTTTTCAGCTTTTGTTGGACTTCGGATTTCTTAAGACCACGAGTAAGAATTAAACACTGCCTCCCTCTAGCTCTCTCTCACCACTGTGGAACCTCGCTTACCGAGCATATCAAATTATAAACGGATGACTCGCTTAACGAGCGACGTTTCGCAAAACGAGTGACGAGAGGGGAAGTCCCGGATTGTGCGCTTGCTACATCAGTCTGTGTTTAGCACTCGTTCCGCTAGCATATTAGTGTCGCTTGTGAGCACACATTTTTCCAAACTTTTGTTCAGACATATTATTTGTAATTTTTTTTTGTGCAAAGTTTAATAACCCTTGCAAAAATGTCCCCGAAGAAAAAGCCGCAAAATGATAGCCATAAGAGAATAAAAATAACTGTAGAAATGAAACGTAAATTCATTGAAAAGCAAGAACGAGGTGTGAGCGTGGCTGTTCTAGCACGCACATACAATCGGTCTACATCAACGATTTGCACTATGCTCAAGAACAAGGACAAGATTAAGGAGATAGATGCTTCAAAGGGAGTGACAAGAATATCTACGCAACAGTTACGTATTCTCGACGATGTTGAAAGGTTGCTCCTCATATGGATAAACAAAAAGCAATTGCAAGGCGACACTACTAATGAGAACATCATTTGTGAGAAGGCGAAAGTGATTTTTGCCGACCTCGTTAAGAAGACGCCAGGATCATCAACGGCTAAAGAAGCATTTAAGGGAAGCCATGGGTGGTTCGAGAAGTTTAAGAGATGAACCGGCATCCACAGCGTTGTAAGGCACGGTGAAGCAGCAAGCTCCGACACAAAGGCAGCAGAGAACTTCATCGGTGACTTCAAGATGCTTGTAGATTCTCAGGGTTACCTGCCGCAACAGGTTTTTAATTGTGAATTCGCATTCCACGTTGGTTCATTACGCATAGAAGAAAAGACGAAGATGATTCACGCTCCTTAACAATGTATATATAATTTTCTTTGAATAAACGTTATACATAAAATTTTTTGAGTATTTTTTCCGGCATGGAACACATTGTCATATTTTACATTAATTTATATGGGAAAACTTGTTTCGCTTAACGAGTGTTTCGCATTATGAGTAAGATTCTGGAACAAATTATGCTCGTTAAGCGAGGTTCCACTGTATTTGGCACACCGACTTACTCTGCTGAAAGTTTAGCATACCTCAGCTTACTCCATTTATCACAGTACTTAACCTTTTCAGTGAATGAAATCAGATAATATACTCTTAATAGTGTGCATCCTGTTGTGTGTCATAAATAAGATATAGATATGTTGGATATATACTATTCTCTCCTGCTTTAATGTATTAATTAAGATTCACTAAAGAGAAACCCTTAGAAATTACTATAAAATAATGCTTTGTTACTATCCAACAATGGATTTTCAAATATGTGGGAATACAGTACAATTTATATTTATAGTTCAGTAACATTTTTCTTATTCTAAGGTTCAGTTTAAATTACTTCCAATCAACAATCTGTTTCTATTGTCCTCCATGCATTCATGATCATGAGTTTCATTAAATCCTTTGTAATCAAGAGAAACCAAATAAACGAAGGCCTCACTTGCCCACATACATAATACTGTCATGCATTTTATGGGGTATGACTAATAACAGCGTTTTGGATTTATTGATCACTCTTTGTACAGTACAATCACTCATAATCACAATGAATGACTGCCTAAGACTCACTCCATTCTGACTGGAGCCACAGTCACTCACTCTTATACTCCACAGATAACACGTCCATTGCCTAGTAATGTTCGTCTACTGTTGCTGCGTATTGCTGTACACTTTACCTAACAACAAGCTGTTTACCCAGAATCAGTTTCCACTGGAAGGTATTTATCATGCCAGTTGCCTAGCAATGGGTGTATGTCACAATATTCATGGTCCCCTACCCTACATCACTGGACATAAAACGCATCGTTGGAATTAATCAGTCCAAAGTTCAGTCTAGTAAATTCAGTCAATACCATCTATAAAGAACATATATTTACTCTTGAAATATCTGTATCTACATTATGAACAAGTGTGTTATTTTATTTATGGTTTTTCATGACACTGTCAGCAGCTCAGGCAATGTGGCATCGACATGTTTCTAAATCACACAATGTATTTTATACAATGTACCATATTCAATGCAGTTTTGCTCTACTGGAGATATTCCAATAATCATCTTTATAGATTAAAATGTCACTAATTTGAACACAGCACATGGAACACAAATAACATTCAGTTCTGAAGACTTCAATTTATCAACTTGACAGCTAGATGTAAGTTTTGAGGTTTTCACGGCGATGACTATGAAGAAAGTAGTCTTCTGGGTTTAGGCGCCGTGTATTCTTCGTTTTGGCCGACGTTTCGGAGGAACGTATCGCCTCCATCTTCATAGCAGGTGAACACCATAAAATCCCTCCAATTAAACCCTTATGATATGATGGTTAGCTTCGATGTGGTATCGCTTTTCACCAAAGTGCCAATCAAGGACACTATGGATCTACTAGGAGGAAACTTCGCCGAAGATGTTTTGAGACTCTTTCGCCATGTCCTAACCACATCCTACTTCAGCTTCGATGGCCAGTTCTACGAACAGACTGATGGTGTAGCCATGGGCTCTCCACTATCTCCGGTCATCGCCAACTTCTACATGAAGGACTTCGAGGAGAGGGTGCTGGATTTGGCTGGTTTCGATATGTGGACGACACCTTCGTCATCTGGCCCCACGGACCTGACAGCGTGAAGGGTTTCCTGAACCACTTAAACAGTATCAACCCATGCATTCAGTTCACCATGGAAACCGAAAGTGAAGGCCACCTCCCCTTCCTAGACATAGATATTTACAGGAGACCCGACGGCTCTCTAGGCCATGCAGTATACCGCAAACCCACACACACCAACCTCTATCTCAATGCCAAGTCCCATCATCACCCTTCCAGTAACCACACTGGTACACAGGGCCAGAGCTCTGTGCGATCAAGGGAGTCTGCGTGCGGAGTTGGAGTTCCTGAAGAACATCTTCAGACGCAATGGCTGTAACGACCGGCAGGTCCACAGGGCCCTCAACCGCCATCCCCACAACAATCAACATGATGACCGCAGAGAAACTGTCGCCTTATTGCCCTTTGTCAGGACTATATTCAAGAGGATCAGCAGAGTGCTGTCCCGACACAACATCAAATCAGTTGGCCTGCCCCCAAAGAAAATATCTAATTTCCTCCGGCCTGTCAAGGATCACCTGGGACTGAGGACACCGGGAATTTACAGAATTCCATGTGAGTGCGGCAAGGTCTACATCGGGCAGACGGGCCGTTCTGTGGACACGAGGTTGAAAGAACATCAACGGCATTTACGATTAGAACATCCGGACAAGTCAGCCATAGCTGAACACAGCATCAAGCTAGACCACTGTATCCAGTTTCACAAAACCGCCATAATCACCAGTAAGAGCCGTTACCTAGATTGCATAATCATGGAGGCCGTAGAGATCGAGCTCCGTCCAAACAACATGAACAAAGAAACAGGGTTCAGTCTCAACAAGTCATGGAAGCCTCTCATCTCTTCCCTCAAGAGAAATCTAACAAAGCACACCAGTTCTTCGTCATGTCATTGACGTCAGTAGCCTGTCCCCTGTAATCATGTCATTGACGTCAGTAGCCTGTCCCCAACCAACTGGTTCTTCTTGTCTACCGCAACTTCCTAGTGCTATTGACCTCAAG